ACACGTGTCTCAGGTAAATTAATAATTATTTTGATCACTTTTATACAAATTTAATTTATTAACATATATTATCACAGTTGGATATAGCCCCTAGATACGCTGGTGCAATTTATGGGTTGGGACATACTTGTGCCGCAATTCCAGCTGTAATAGGAGTAGCTTTTACAGGATGGGTACTAGATATTACAAACCGAAATTGGAATATTGTTTGGATTTTGGTTACAGCTTTTTATTCTATCGGTTCCATATTTTTTGTTAGTTGGGTTGGTGGTAAAGTTATAATTGATTGAAAAATTTGTTGCTTAATATTGAAAATTTTGTTGGTTAATATTGAAATAGTTGCAATGTAAAACACAAAATCTTTAAGATCTAGCTTAAAACGATCCAAAAAATAAATAGGTAACCAGTTGAGCAAAATAAAGTTACCAAATGCGTTACAAAATTGAGTAATGAGTATAGCCCACACTTCACGACGAGAAAGAATGAGTTTCCATGGAACTTCTTTTGGACTTGACAATACCGAATTTTTGGGCAATAGTGCATCAACTTCAGACCCAGATTCATTATCAGATGCAATTTCAGTTAATGAAGCATCAGGAGCTACATTATCATTCTCGTTTGTCGTCGATTCAATAACAATTTCACTTGATTCTATTCTATTATAACTCAAATTTTCACTAGTTTTCTTTTGTTTGCTTCTTAAAATTAATTCCAACTCTTCTTGACTTATTCCTGAATATTCATTTGGACTACTTTTACCATAAATTTGCCATAATATAGACCAAATTAATCCAACCATTCCAAAAGTCCAAAAAATACTAGGCCAGCCAAAAGGGCCTGATCCTAACCAAGTTGATATCGGCCAGGCAATAACAATTCCTAAATAAGCAGAGGCTGTATAGATGTTAATAAAAATTTCAATTTACAAACCTTTTAATGAAATTATAGATTTTACTTACATAAAATAGCTGAAGCTGCTTTACTAATTTCCTCTGTTGGAAACCATGCAGCAATCAAGGAATTTACAGACGGAAAACATGCTCCTTCGGCAACACCTAAAAGTATTCGGCATACTATGAGATATCCTAAACCAACCTTAACAGAAATTGGTGTAAGAAAGGTAAATAGTGTCCATAATGCTGCAGCTAAAAATATTTATATATAATTCATATAATTCATATAATTCAATTAATTAACATTATATAATTCATTTACAAATGTTTAAATGAAATTTATGATAAATAGTGTAAAATATGTATTATTTCCTAAAAAAGTTCTATCAAGTACATATTACTTTAACGTTACTTACAAGCACCTAATATCCATTTTCCACCATATTTATCGGCAAGTGCACCACTTAAAACTTGTGTTGTTAGATAACCAAAAAAAAATGATGACAATATAACACCTTGAGTCGTTGCTGAAAAACCAAAGTCTAATGTCATATAGACTATGGCAATAGGCATATTGGATCGATCTTTTTTTTTTTTTTTTAATTTGCAATATTAAATTAATTATTAGTTATTAAACGAAATCATAAGGTTTTATATACGTACCTGCATAACTGATAATAACTCCAGTCACACAAAAGATAATTATAATTAATCGCTTTGGAATATAAAATTCCGGAGATAATTTAAAATTATCGAAAATCATTATTTTTTTTTCCTCGAAGGCTGAATCTAGCTTATTTGTACTTCTGCAATTATTGATCACTACATATTACATATAGTTATAAGGTAACTGTCGTGCAAAACCAGGAACGGAAAGTATGATTTAATTGGATACTATATAATTAATTTAACTAAAATACATACCGTACGTACCAAAATTACAATTTTTAGGTTATATTATTGGAATAATTCATATCTAAACCATTTTTTAAAAGAAAATCGTAAATATTTAATATAGTATTACTAATTGAATTTGTATGTCTTATACAGTATGTTATACCCGATTTTAATCGGCCTCAAAATATAAAAAATACGTAAATTCGATTCTAAATCCTTTTTGTAGCTTTGAAGACCAGCGCCGTTAGTGTTTAGTGACTCATGAATTTAGTATTACTCTAAAAAAATAGCTACGTTGCTAGGCTTAATATAAAACAGTTTGTATAATAATCAGTTTTAACCGAAATGTTTTTTTTTTTGCTTGTGGTAGACAAAAATAAATTCAAAACAACGATGTGAAAAGAAAATGAATAAGAAACTTAGTATAATATAGTTTTTTCTTTTTTGTCACAATTAAATTAAAGAAATTATAATATATGTTTACTATAATCATAAATTGTCAGGTCAATCATACCAATCATGAATTTAAAATAACATACTTTATGCAAATTTTTGGGCATGCCCTTTATAGTTATATGTATTTATTAGAAAATTAAACTTTTTGTTTGTACATAGTTTAGAAACCTTTAGAAGCTATTAGACGAATTGGCGAAAATTTTTTGAAAACTCGCCTAATAATACATTAGCAAAATGCACATTCATCCGCATGCTGTATCTTACACAAATTTTCCAAGTTTTATCATGACCTGCACGTTGTTAAGGGTAAAATTGACTCCAAATTCTATTTTTATCCCTTGTTGCTAATTTTGTAATACATGTAATACAAATTTGTGATTCCTGGTAAATTCTTGATATCCGAAGAATGACGGGAATAAAAATTATTTAAAGAATAATTTTTATAGCTGGAATAGTTTAGATTCAAGGAATAATTTAGATAACGACAATATATTAGACTCCTAGAATTCCATTATATGTAAAATTAAATATATAAAGAGGAGTTTCTCTCCTTGAATAAAGTCAGTAACGTTTTACGCATAAACTCAAAAATTCGTTATCCTAATTGCCCAATAAACTATGATTCCTAGTTAAAGCCTCGTGACGTAGTCTAGAGCTCTATTTGACCCTAATAACTCGGTCCAAGTCTTTCCATGCCTCTTTCGCACCTTCCACCATTAGGGTTGGATAGAGTTTAGTAGTTTAGTGTGTTGATTTGGATTAGTTTAGTTTTAGGGTGTTCTCAAGCGCCTTAATCAATGGGCAAAAGTGTCGGGAAATAAAAATTACTTAGCGGAAAATATTTTAAATTAACCAAGCGGGTTTATCATTAAGATGAATATGCAAATTTTGATAAAATTATTATGTAATTATGATATTTTTATTAGTAAACAATATTGAAATGAATTTGGCATTTTAATAATCAAACTGTTTACAAAAGACCACCTTTTTTTTTATCCCTGCGTTGAAAAATTCTACAATCAATTGAGTTTTTAAAGAGACTGCACAAGCAACATTGTCATGGATCATCATATTCAGCAACGAATTATTATTTTACTTCTTGTACTAAATGCTTTTATAAAAAATAAAAAAACTGGGAAGCACAAAAAACAATAGCCAATACTTACCATCTCTTAGCCTTTACCAATATGGCAACAAGTTCAACCTAGTGCTCCTAAAGAGTCATTCGGGTCGGGTTTGGGGTTGAGCCCGTATTTGTTCGAACAAACTCGGGTTTTTA